TTGCTAATTACTATTAATATTAAATGTGTAATGATATTTAATAAAAATACTACTATACTGTATTATACTGTATTATATGCTGTACACATAAATATATAATAAAATAATATATAATATATAATAAGGTAATTAAATAGAAATAAAAAACAATATTAGTGTGAAAACTAACTCTCACTGTTTGCGCACATGTTTTTAAAGCAAGTCATTTGTTTTATTAATTAATAACTCATATTATAATATATAAAACTGGAGAACACAAACATATTCAACAATAATAAATAAAAAATTAATCAAAAATCATTATTAAACAAATAAAAAATAATTATTATTATAAATATTAGATGTAAAAAATATTATCTGTTATTTATATTGAATTAAAAATATTTTTATATAAATTATTCTAACAATTATTATGTTTTTATGCATACATTTGCAATAATTGTTATATATTTTTGCCAAAATATTAAATAATCCATTATTGTACTATAAATGCAAATTATAATATACTATAGAAATTTCTAAAAGTTGGTTTTGGTAATGTTATATAGCATTAACAACTGACTTATTATTGAATTAAATGCGATTTTTTATGCTATTATCAGATCAAACAAGTTATTAAATTCATTTCGATTTCATCTATAAATATATAAATATAACGTTACGTTTAATTTTTAGAATTACTTAAACTTATAATAAAATTTTGTTATATTAATTTAGCTATTTATTTATTATAAATTAATGTAATTATATAAATAAAAGCTTATAAACGATTTTAATTGTATAAAATTTAAGTTCTAATTCATAAATTTTTATAGACTATAAAATTGTGATATATTATTTTGATTGACTATTTATGTATCTAAATAAGATTTAAATATTTTGTTTTGCTATATAATTGTAAAAATAATTAAATTATTTATTATGCAAAAATATTTCTTATAAAAATTAGTAATACTCAGTAATATATATATACTTTTTATAATACAATAATAGAGCAATAATAAAATAGAGCAAACAATGATATGTATAACTATAAATAGATACAAATTTTTAGTAATAATTTTAAGCAATTTAAACAAGAATCAAGAATATTCACTATGAATTCAAATACAGTATAAAAGGATTTATATGTTATTTATAGAGAGTAAACAAGTTTAGTAGAGTAGATGTAAAAAACATTATTAACATAATATAATATTATATGTGTTTTTTGAAAATTTACAAACTTTTCAAATGTGATATAACGATAAACACCATTAACATTGTCATTAATTTATCATTATCAACAATAACAACAACAAAAACAAATAAATAAATTTATATGCAAACAACATAGTTTCTGACGAATCATTTTTATAGTAAAAACTAATAAAAATAATCAAATAATTATATTCTAAATATAATAAAATAACAATAATTTTTTATTAAATCTGTATATAATAAATATGAATATATGATCAATAAGTTATTGACAATAACCAAAGTTCATTTATATAAAATATATAGACTTTCGTCTAAATATGTAATTATTATAAAAGTAAAATTACAATATTATAAATTATAAGTATTCAAATCAAAGCAAATAGTTATATGAAAGTTCTAATAGATTTATTAAACTTAATTTAAATTAATAATATTTAATTTAAACCTTATTTTCTACATCAAACATAATTTCACTAATAGATGATTGATTGGGATCAAAAATCTCATGTCACAGATGTTAAATGCTAGTATAATAACTAATAAAAATCAATATGATTTTTATTTAAATTATATTTCTAATGATTATACATTTCAATTAATTAGTCATGTAATAATTTTAGTTTTCTTTAATTTTATTAATTATATAAATATTTTTGATCGATAGTGGATTTGGGTTTCATTTGTAGTATTTTTCTTTACGCACTTTATTGGCTTATTAATAATTAATTAAATAATTTTAAAATGATATATTAAAGTATATTACATAAAATTAAATATCAATAGTTAAAAATATGATGTAGCAGTAAATGTGCATTTTTTAAAATAATTGTATTATTATAAAAAATATTAGGATTATAAGTTTGCATATACTGTATAAAGTTCATGTATATTATTTTTGCATATAAAATATTTATATAAATTAATTTTTAAAATATTTTATTTTATATATTTTAAAAATATTTTTATGACATCAAAGTTAAACATAAATTTGTTGAAAATATATTTTTATAAAATTAATTTGTTATTGCATTTAGCAATAATACAATATGCTACAATATATTTTATAATATTAATAAAAATTAATATATAAACACATTAATTATGTAGTATTAAGCTATTTATCTAATTTTTAAAATTAAAATAATTTTACAGTTAAATACAATGTAAATGTAATTTGAGCTAAAACTTAGACAAATATGTAAATATAAATTAATATAGTATTGTTACCAGGTGATATTTTAAATGGTCAAACAACAATTAACTGTTAATTATTATTATTTTATTAAATCATATATTAAAATCCAGATTTGATATAAAAATATTTAAGAATTAATTACATATATTAAATATCACTACATATTATACCTGTATATTAATAAAATTTTATATTAGTTATAGAATAGGGTTTTATATACATATTTATTAAAAAATTGATTTACAAGTGATTTATTTTGTATATCATATGTGTAAAATAATTATATATTTTTAAATTTTAAATATCTGTATAATTTGTAATTGATAATTATTATAGTTTACAAAACAGTATTTTTTAAATTTTTTACTTTAAGACATCTTTTAGTAAGTCTGTTACTATTACTGTAATAAATACAACACATATTGTAAATTACAACACAGTAGTCTCATAGGCCTCTATGGGTACACCCATTATATACACATGGATACAGTATATGTATAAATATATTCACCTGTTTTTCACTTTTCTGTCCTAAAAGATTTAAACTAATAATTTTAGTCAAACTATATAATAGTATACAACTGTGAGAATGAAGTTTCTAATGAAGATTTGAGATAAATCTAACCATAGATTAGTATAAAATTGTATTTTGAATTTTATAAATATTGAACACAATATACATTTGATATTGAAATAAATGAAAGTTTGCTAAATTGAGAAAAATTATTACTTTATTGACATTACATTTAGTTAGACATTACATGTTTTTTATGAATAAAAAAAACAATAAAAGTGTTTGTTTTTTGTTGTTAAGTGATGTTTGTTTGTCCTCTTAAGCATATACTGTATATACATATGTACTGTAGTTTAATAATAAATAGTTAGGTATCATATTTGCCTTTTTATTCAATTGGTTGCGTTATTATTCTCAGTCTTATCTACCCATTCCTACATAGCCTACCATAGCCTACCATAACCTACCATTGCCTACCAGTGCCAACCATTTCAAGGTTGAGCCGAGTGTTGGGCTGTTGTTCAGAGCGTTTGCCTCTTATTGTTGTTCATTGAGGAAGACTTGCGTTTGGATTACGCAATAGCTATCCGTTGATAACATTGCCGTCAATACGTGTAATGCAGTTGTCGTGTCTGTAGTGCTGAGGGAAGGGGTAGTGGAGGGGATATCGTAGGGACAACCAGTAAACACAGATATCGGTGCTTATGTTGTGAACCGGTTAGCACTTGACGTCTTCACTATACATATAATATTATAATTATTATTATTATATCACTTAAACACCATTTTTTTTAACTGACTTTACTGTCAAACCATTATATTTGACTGTTTTCTCACTAAAAAACAATTTACGCTTATTTTTCAAAACAAAATTAACAAAAAATAAATCATTAATTTTAGCTAATTTTATCTTATTTTTTTTTTGTTAAACATTATTATGTTATATATGATAAACAAAATATGCATTTAAATTAAATTATATATTTCAATGAAAACAAAAACAACATATTTTTGTGAAACGTTTTTGTCTATAAATATCTTAAAAACAGTTTTCAAAACTATTTGTTTGAAAACATAAAAATCTAATTCAAAATTCAATATTTGGTGTTAAAACAGATATTATTTGAAAGTAAAACCTAAAAATCAAACACATATTCAAAGAATAATTTATAAGAATATTCTGATTCCTGTTTATTGATATAATAAGTAAACAATCGATTGTTTTATATTATTATTGACTATTGAATTGAATTGAATAGAAATGGAGAGTATATTCTTGTAATAACAATATTGTCGATCCTATGGTAGTATAGCTTAACATAAACATAGAGTTTAACTAATAATAGCATAACTAATGTTAGAGACAGCGGCGTAACAGTCGGTCTCAATCCAGATATCACTTGTATTGACTGCTTTTTCCTATATATATGTTATATAAGTTATATACTCTATTATATACGATATAAGGTATAGTATTGTACATACAGTATACGGTATAATCAATATATACCAGTAATACAGTATACAAGTACTGCATATACAGTACCGGCAGTTACTGGTGTCTCAGTATATAAGTATATATCGATATTATCATCAATTGATTGCACTTATTATTAATGACCGACAGTTTATATCAAAATAATTAACCAAAAATAAAATTATTAAAAATAGATATTACAATAGATTTTATAATAATAATAATAATAATGTTTTCTAATTATTGACTAAATGTTAGTCAACACTGTATTAATTGTTTTGTTTACTACATATCATATAATAATATAATTTATTAGTAATACCTTTACATTACTATAACAACCCTATCGTATAATAGTATGAAATGAGAGAATCGCCTGAATATACAAAACATTGACTTTTTTCTAATTAATTTGATTTACAAATAAAATGCTAATTAATTGATTGAATAATTTATAGTTAAATTGATATTTATTTAGTAATGTTAATGTGATTAATGTTAGTTTAGTATAATTATCATACAATTTGTTTTGATAATCAATTCAAATACTATATGACATTAACTGTATATTCAATGCAAATCTATATTTCTATTAATATATGAATGTCTAGAAAGTGATGGACTTTACGGCAAATTTCAATGCAATTCAATGTCAGTGTTATTAGAGAACAATGTATTGAATGTATCGTTAAATTAGTGGTTCATATACTGTGTTGTGTTGTGTTGTGTTGTGTTCGACACAATCACACAATCATTACGTCACTCATTGCTTATCCAACAGTATTTGAGATGACGTGTTGAGCACTACTTTGTTTAGATGTAACACAAGTATGCCATCCATAGTGTGACCAATGGGTCTACATTTGACACATTGGTATCGGTATATGAATATTGGTCGACACTGACTGTCCATACGATGTCCGATACGATGACCGATCAGTTGGTCACCCGAAATGATGGTCACATTTGACGGCAATGTGTGTGTGAAATGAGGTTATGTATGAATACATAGTTATTGTGAGCGCATGCGTATGAGTGTTGAGGCAGTTCTACTGTGACCTCGATTTCAATACTGACAGTGAGTTTGCTTTGATATCTCATAACTAGAATTCGATTCGATTTAATAACATCTCTATTACTGAATAATAATAATAATAATAAAAATATTTTGTTTGAAAACAAGTGTTGAAACGAGTAATGCTTTTGACTATTGAATTGATGTTTGTTTTATCGAATCGAATGATTGCTTTAATTAATTGATTCATACATTCATTGAATTATTATTTTGATATCTCTTTAATGTTTTGATTGTTTTGTTGTAACGATTGTCACATTTGACGAGTGATAGTGTTGTCGCACACGACTCGTGCTATACATTGAAAGTACAGTGCGTTTGACTAAAGCAGTCAATACTGAGTTGTATTGCATTGCATTGCATTCAAAGACAGCAATCATAAGCCGATAGTGAAGACAACAGTAGACAACTGGAGCTGATTGTCATCATTTGGTATTCAAACTGATCTCTAGTTGTCGATAGGGTGAGTGTCCAAACCTGTTGAAGGTGTGGACCGATATCTATGAGCGTCAAGACGGCTCAGTTCAAAGGTCAACGATATTCCTCTGGTGTAGAGCTGGACAATGAGTGGCCATTGATATGCAGTCCGGCATCGATGGCCATGGATTCGCAATTTTATGAACAGTCGTCACCAATAAAGCCACACAACAAGTGTTCATCGCCTCAACACTTCCCTCAAAGCGGTCGCCAATCGGGTGAACTATCACTTGAGCTGAGGGCAGACCTGACTGCACCTGAGCTGACCTTTGATCACATGTCGATCCAACAGTTTATTGCTAACGAAATCAATTCCAATACCAATACATCTCTGGAAGATTCGGTTTCCATATTTTCAGCGCTTCTTAACGATAAACAGTCACAAAGTCGTAACATTTCTAGCGATCAAAACCCACAACACAGACAACAACACACGCGACCAGAACTGGCTGATCATAACAGTACAAACACTTACGGCCAACAATCGGCTCACACTTCACACACACATCATTCAGACCCATATTCAATGCAACAACAATCAGCTGTTGGACCCGACGGCTACCCATTAGAGACATCAGCAGTGGTCAAACAAGAACCTGTTGATCCAGAAGTAGACTTTTCCAGCAGTTGCAGTCAGAATTCAGGTTATTCGGGAGGCAGCTATTCGGCCCATTACGACAATCGAGACCATACTATGAACGGCAACGATGAGAGTCCTATGTCTTTGGTTCACTTCACCGGCAATGATATGCCTTCCCATAAAAGCAAAAAGAAAAATGTCGACAAAGCATCCGATGAATATAAGAAGAGACGCGAGAGGAACAACATTGCTGTTCGTAAGAGTCGCGAAAAGGCAAAGGTTAGGTCCAGAGAGACGGAAAAGAAGGTCTCAGAGTTGGCCCGAGAGAACGATTCACTCCGAAAGAAAGTAGATATGCTTTCCAAAGAACTCAATGTTCTTAAGTCGTTACTAACCAACGTTGGAGTTCCCGCTGAAAGTGTCGACAGCGAGATAGCTAAAGGCCTCCAAATGGATGGTCACTCCACCACTCCTTATGGTTCATCCATGTAATCGTTGTTTTGATTTTTGAGTTGTATTTTATTATAATTATTTTGTTTTCAAGTTTTTGTTTTTAGTTTTTAATTAATCATTTAATTTCATTAATTCATCGAAAAAATATATTTATATGTCATATATTGACTAAATTAGAGCCACATTATGACACACCTCATTCTAGACTATCAATATATAACATATTTATATATATAAGAGAGAAATTATATTTATATAATATATAAATTGATAAAATATAAGCTATTTTCAATACTAATTGTAATTTTGATCAGAGAAAACAAAAGTGAAAGTGTGTATAAAAAGTTGTTTAACGAGTGGTAACAGATAAGCCTTTTTTAAAAAGCTAAATACATAAGAAAAGTTAGATATAAACGTAACATTATATACTGTTTTAATACCAGTGCCTAAATATTTTATGATACAAAATATTTGAGGCTTTCTCCTCATTACTTGTGCTCACAATCGAGTTATTAATTTTAATTATTATATAACTTATACTGTAATTATCTGTTTATTTAATGAATTGTTGATATAATTAAAATTATTATTATTTAATATTAAGCGACTTATTCTTATAGCTATACTCTTTATGATATAGTTTTAAAGGAAGGTGTGATTGTTAATAATGAAATATTTTGTGATTTTTAAGACTGTATTTTGTTAGCAAAATGATATCTAATATACTATCAATAATTTAAGTATAAATATAATTATACTGTTAATTGTAAGCCATTTACGGCACATTCAATCAATTATATGATAAAACAAGTTGTCCTCTCATTTCAAATTATTTTTTGTTTTAAATTGAGTTTTTATTTAACATATTATCGCTTAATATATTATATTTGATGTAAATTATAATTAAATGCCTCATAAGATAAGATTATATATATATTTATATATATTATAAATTATTGTCACATTCATAGATGTAATTATCAATATTTTTAATATACTGTATTCAGTTGTAATTGTTATTATTTTAAGTGATTTTATTATTGAATGGCATTTTTGTGCTGAAAACTAATGATATTAACTGATATGTGATTAATGGCTGTTGGATTTGATTATAACTATAATTATTACTATTATATTAAAAGTTTTACATATCATCTAAAATATATATATATATTATATAATTTAAACTGAAAAACAAAGACAATATATTTGCTGTTGTAGTCAATGAATAATATATTTATATAAAAAACATTACAAAATGTGATCATCTATTCGGTGCTCTTCTATAATATAATATATATTTTGTTTAATATATAACGACTCTAATTATAACTTTAATGATTAAAAGTTTACAATCGATTAAAATAAATATTGTATGATTTTAACAGTAATTTTTGTTAACAAATCAGTTTTATAACTAATGAAAAAATGTTTATATAAATGATATATTGTATAATTATAACGATGTTTTGTTTTAAATATTATATTATTATGTTTACTTTAATGGGTCTCTTCACTATTCATTACAAACCAAAATAATTTATTATAAACTTTTTGAATAAAATATGCGATTATTGGTCGCACACTTTATAATTAAATGATAATTGTTTTAAATGCTGTTATACTGTATATGTTATGGATATTTTAAATAAGAAAATAAAACTCATTATCATTATATTTATAATATATATATAAGTTATTTATTTTTATTTTTAAATAATTTAGTCGAAATAATGATAATTAACGAAAATTGTATAAATTTCAATCTCATTCATATCACATAAACGTATTATTTTTCAAAAAGGAGTCAACAATCAACAAAACTGCGGCTAATTGTTACATAACAGGTGGATAGCAATAAAAGTTAATATAATATATATACAGTATATATATATACACTATTATATACACTAATTATAAGTGTTTATTATACAGTATTCACAACTGTAGTATACATTTATTTAGTTAGATATATAATATGATTGGTGTTTACAACTAAAACATTGCTATAAACAGAATAACAGAATTAGTTTCCCAAATGTTTTTTGAGAGTCAGTTATGGTCTTATAAAACATGTTTTACAACAAATGAAACGCTATTTTTATACATATATTTTGATTTCTTTGAATTTGTGATCAAATATCATACAGTAAATTGAATATAAATGGTTTGTTTATTACAAACCAGTGTTGGCAGAGACAAATTGTTTGTATAATACAAAGCGTATTATACTGTATAATACAATGTATAATACATGACCATTTGGCTTACAAATAAAATTAAGCGCCACCTACTGCTAAAAAATTGATATAAGAAAAGTAAACCATGTTTAATAATAAATTATAAAATTATTATTATTTTTTTTTAATTTAATTTTGAATTATTTCATTATTAATATAGTAGAAACAAGAATTATAATAATAATAATGCATTTTCTAGTAATTATATTTTTACTAAATATTTTTAATTAATTTTTTTTAACATAATATATATTATTTTTTTAATTTGTATAATACATTATATAATACTGTATTATAAAAAGTCAAAATTCAAAACCTTGTATTTTTCCAACTCTGTTACAAACAGTTATTGAAATAGTAATCCATTTTCCATGTGATTGATTAGTATCTGCTATAATGTCAGTTAATTGAATGATATTTAACTCGATATTTATTAAACAATTTGTTTATTAAAATAAATAATCAACTTTGAAATAAACCAATAAAATATATACAAATATTTGGCATAATTTATTAAAAAATAGCCTTTTTATAGATAAAGAGCGCCTTTCAGCTATGTTTTATGAAAATCAAGTTCATAGAGAAAGAAAGGGAAACATTAAAAACATTTTATTAAAAATTACTGATTTTCTTATTCAAAGGCATACATAAATATTTTATATATTTTTTCATTATTTAGATAATTGCTGTACAACTGTAACCCACTTATCGTATATTAAGTCTATATATCGTATACTACAACTATGGCTGTATATCATATACATAGTATAATATATGTATTTAATATATTTATAAAATGTATTTTATTTAATGTAGTCTCTAATATACGCTATATATCATACTAAATTTCAAATAATAATACTAATAACAATAATACTGTAATTACATATATACTATAGTTTTTAATGCACAATACATTTCAAATATATAGTACATTAATATTTATATAAAATTAAATTCATATTCAAAAAATTCTAACATTAAAAAAACAATTTTTTTTTGTCTATTATTTTATTTTAAAAAAAAATTATAACTATTATTATAATTCAAACTTTATTTGTGTTATAACTTGACTTTGTTCTTATAAAAACATAATTTTTAGTCTTTAAATGGAAATCAATGTTTATAGCAATAAAAAATAGTATTTATTAATTACACTATCATTTAAAGGCTGAGTATGTTTTAAATATCAAGCATTCACAGTAAAACCCATGACATTCAAAAAATATCAGTTTTTATGATTTTATTTTGTTATCAGTATTTATAGTACTTTTGTTATTATTAATTACTATATTTTTAATATTATAGATAACAAAAATATAAATTAATTTCAGTTAAGTCTTAATGATTATTATTTTCTACTTTCAAACTATGGGACAAAATTGTATAAAATCATAAAATAGTCATAATTTTCATTTTTGATTATTAACTCAAATAAGTCAACTCTTTCCTGAAAAATCGTAATTTTTATTATCTTAAAACTGGATTCACTTTATTTTCTTAAATTTCCTTTTATTTATAATACAGTATACATTTTACCGACAATTTTACATTATTTTATTTTTATAAAATAATTATTATTGAAAAAATAATGTATTGTAATCAAAAGTGTTTGTATAATAATGATAAATGTTAATATAATGCTTTTAAATATTATTTTATATCTTAGTAACAGAGATATGATTGAATTTTAATTAATTACAAATATTTCATACACTATTTGTTAATGATATATTAAAAGATCTATAAATTACATATAATTGAGGCATCTTATTGCCAAAATATAATTAATTATATTTTCTTAACAATTATATTTAAATACATATAATTGAAAGAAATGTATTAAATATATCATGTTTTGCTAAAAAATCAAATGAATTGCAATTTTGAATGGTAATCATTAAATTGTGATAATCAAGGTCTCTATTATTCTCTATTATAATTTATACTAATAAACAAAAATTTTATTTTTACTGAAATTGTATTAAATATATACTGAATACTTCTATTTTTGTACAAAACTATAATTTATTAAATTTGGTGTATAATAAACATAATTAGAGGTAAATAAGCGTACAATTTGAAATGCCGTCTAATTTTCAATGAAATCAATTTTTCATTTAAATTATTTTTTGTTTGTAAATAAAATAAATATTATATACATATGGACAGTAATTTGAGATCAAAGTCTAACATTAATATTACATTAAAAATAATTGCTAACATTCACCATTAAAATGGATAACTATATAAATAATATTTAATTGTTAATTAATATTTTATAAAATGCTGTAAGTAATTGTAAGTAAATACTAAATTCAAGCAAAAAAATAATTGTTTAATAATATTGTATAAAATTATCTATATCTTTAAAAATTTAAAAATAATTTTTTAAAAATGTTATCTTGTTGATAAAAGTATTTTGAAAACATGTTAATCTTTATTAATTAAGATAAATGTTATTTTAATCAATGTCTAAAAATTTATTTTAAATTTTTTTTATAATAATATTGTAAATATAATATATTTTATTATAATAATTTATGTTTATTAAAATAAAATTTTTATTCTATTGTAAAATACTACAATGAAATTTATATTATATTATTTTAACATTAATTGTTTAATTAAATAATTAAATCATTCATAAATTTTAATTGTAAATAATAATACAATAGACAAACTTAATGATTATATAATTAATTATAATATTATATTTAATACAATGTATACATTTTATAAGTTAATAATAATTACATAAAATTAGAGGACAATCTCTCACTCTTTACGAAAAAAAATAAAATATTTTCAAAATAGAAAATTTTAATTTAATTTAAGCAATAATAAAATGTTTATAAATTAATATTCAATTGAATTGAGTGAAAGCAAAAGTTAAAAATACTATTTACGGTCTATTTTTTCAATAAATACAATACAATAGTTCATTATTGAAATTATTATTATATTTATATTTATTGTTATTTTTATATAGTAATTAAATGGCAAAGAAATAAAATAAACATAAAGTATTTTATATATTGTGTGTAAAAGCCATTGTCAATGATAGGGAAAGTATTTTCTGAAACAATTTTTTTGAGGTTTTGTTCAAAATGGGGTCAAAGTATTAATTACACGACAAGAATATACTATTTATTATATAAGCGAGTCTTGAAAACGGTGTACAAAAAAGAGGGGAAAATAAGAATAAAATTAGAGTATTTTTAATAGTTATTCAAATATTTTATCTTTAAATTATCAGTTTTGCAATTATATTATAGTTTATAAATTGTATTTAATAATAATACAGTATATAGTAAATAATAATAATTTTTAGAAAGTGGTAAATCAACAATTTTTGTTGTTATA